ATATATAATTTATATATATAATTTACATAAGTAAAATTTATATATAAAACTTACATAGGTAAAATTTATATATATAAAACTATATCTATAGCTTTAGATTTCATATCAGTCCATCTGAAAGAGAAGCTGCTTAGCCTCTTCATAAATATCATTTGCCCTTTGTCTTGCATCTGTAATTCTAGTGTTTTTTGGTTTTTTTTTTTTTTTTCCATTTCTTACTCATTATTGTATTGATGTAGTAAGTGGATTGCTTTACAGATGATCATTTGCAAAACATATTAGTAAGCAATAAATTAAAAATCTTAGAGTTTGAAGGGACCTTCCCGATCCCCTAGTCTTGGATTGCCAAGAGCAGAATTTTAATTAATGTTATGTGAACGGAAGTCCTAATGTTGCCATTACCTCATTTCAAGGGAGGGGTGGGGTATGAGGTGAGTGAAGTGGGGGAGGGTTCCCCTAGAGATTTCTACTGTATTTGTTACATTAAATTCTTAGTCTGTTGGTGGTTACATGTGTATTTGCTGTATTATTCTCTATTTTTTCTTTATGCCTAAAATATTGTATAGTGCTACAGAAAAAAAAAAAGATCACTGTGATCAAATCAATGTGAGATACTCTGGATAAAAGAAAATCAAAGAAGTTTCATGGCTGAAGAAGTATTCAAAGCCTTTATTGTTCATTTATTCATTTATTCCCGTTGAATGCCAACTAACTGCAAGACATTGCTGCAGGCTCATAGCTATAGTAGTGCACCAGGCTTAGACAGATTCCCTGCTTTCAGGGAACATGCATTCTAAAGACTCTTCTAGATGGTGATAAGGATTTAGTGTCTGGTATTTCTCCATTATTTAGTCATAAAACATTTTTATCAGTAGCATCTTTTGAGCCGAATGTTCTATGGAATGCACTTTGGGAAAATCCTAAGTTTTGTTTAATACAGTAAGGACTCATGAAACTTGAAGATTTTGTCAAAACAGTGTTTTAGAACCACCTTATGATGCTGTAAAATCAACTTAAATAAATTTCAAGATTTAAATTTAGGAATTTTTTTTTTTTTGGTTTTGCATGCTGAAAAAAAATCTACAGCTGGATTTTCAGATAATATTTCTATAATTGACAGGCAGCAGGTAGTCATCAGAATTCCAAAATAGCACAGTAAGACTTCAAATACATCAATAAGATTTCAACCGTGAGCTCTTTTCATGTATAAGGTATTTTATAAAGCACTTTTCCTAAAAACATTCAAAATGCATTTAGAACAGACAGTGTTAGGATAAATGTTTTTTGAAAAGGGTACTTAAGGGAAATCATGTATTGTTTTTTTACCGTATCTTCATAAAGATAGTATGTTATCAGTGCTTTTTATTTTATCAGGATGCAGGAAAAATAGTGAATTTAAATCTAACTTCATCAGTTAATTAAGCATGCTGAGAATGAAGTTCAGAATTGTGCTCCTCCTCCAGCTTAGCATTTTTGCAAGATTGAAGTAATAATCAAAAAGTATAACTAATTTAATTGTTTTCTAATATTTATTGAGAATGGCTTTTTAAAAAGATACAAGCTATTTAATTTTTGTAAATTGTTATATATTGTCACAAGACTTTAGCATGTTTATTTCGATTTAATTTCTTAATGTAATTGGATGTTCTTAAAAACATCGAATTTAGAGGGCTATACTATTCTAGTCATAAGGGGAACATTTTCAAAATAATCAACATGGAACTGGAAACCAACAATCCTGCCTTTACATATATAATCTCTTTTAGGTATTGGATTACCTCAGCCCTGAGTTTTTCTGTAAAATTCCTATGAATTAAAGTAGTTGATTTTCTTAGTGGAATCCACAGCCAACATGATTATGCATTCACTTTCCAGATTTTTCTTCATCTTTGATATGAAAGCATAAAATATTTCTGAGCAGCTGGGCACCAAAGCCACACAACAGGGTTTCTCGTTCACAGGACCCAAACTGAGCCACAGTCTGCTAAGTCACTCTTGATGAATCTTCCACTGTGCAATGAGTTTCCTGATACGTTTAGATTAGATCTAGGTAAGGCCTCCTGAAGTTTCAGAATATTTTTGTGATTGAGGAAGCTTTATTAGCCATTAAGTTTGAGTGAAAATTCTAAGCTATCGAAATAATTTGGAGAAAAGAACCTGAAAAATATAACCAAAAGGGATGATATCTAACCCATGCAGCCTCCCTTAACAAAATATAGCATTAATTGGCCATTGTAAATGACTGAACACAAAAACTCAGAAGTTCCAATATAAAGACCACATTTTATCTCTAACTGAAATATGCTGGTTGCATATTCGTAATAGTAAGTTAAAAGTAATGTATAATTGTAATCAAATAGAATACCTATCCCTTATTTGTATGGACAAGATAAGAAGAAGAAGAAGAATTACTAAGCGCTTACTGTGTGCCAAGTACTATTCTAAATAAGGTACATATATTAACTCATTTCATTCATACAACACCCCTGTGAGTTGGTCTATTGTATAGATGAGGAAACTGAGGCATAGAAAGTTTAGGTTAACTGTTAGTATGTGGCAGAGCTGGGAAGTGAATCTATTACCCTTGATGCAGATTCCAAGCCCTTCACAACTTCACAGTATTACAGCTCTATAGTACAGGCCTTTTACAATCAAAATTTACTTGGTAAATGCCCCTATAAGCTGTTTACATACAGCTACTGTCTTAGGTATCTCGTGCTGCTATAACAGAAATACCACAGGTGGATGGCTTTAACAAACAGAAGTTTATTCTCTCACAGTTTAAGAGGCTAGAAGTCCAAATTCAGGGTGCCAGCTCCAGAGAAAGGCTTTCTGTCTCTGTCAGCTCTGGAGGAAAGTCTTTGTCATCAATCTTCTGGTCTAGGGGCTTCTCAGCACAGGGACTCTGTGTCCAAAAGACACACTCCATTCCTGGCCCTTGCTTGGTGGTAATGAGGTCCCTATCTCTCGTTTGCTTCTTTCTCCTTTAATCTCTGGGAAGATAAAAACTGATGCAGACCATGCCCCAGGGAAACTCCCCTTACATGGAATGAGAGCTGTGACCTGAGTAAGGATGTTGCATCCCACCCTAATCCTCTTTAACATAACCTAATCTTGCCTCATTGACTATAGGCAGAGATTAGGATTTGCAACACACAGGAAAATTACCTCAGATCCCAAAATGGAGGACAACCACATAATACTAGGAATCATGGCCTAGCCAAGCTGACACATATTTTGGGAGAGCACTGTTCAATCTGTAACAGCCACTATTTTCTTTTTCTGTAACCACTGACTACACTTATATGTTTGAAAATGAAATTTCCTATTTCCATGTAGTTATGCTTTAGTTTGCATTTTAGCCTTTCTATGAAAAATTCCAGTGCTTAGTTCCCCTGAATAATTGAGTGGTGTCAGAATCACTGGCATATGACCTAACGACAGGCCTACTCTGAAGTTTATGTTCAAAATCTAATTTAAACTTCTTTCAGTCCTTTTGGTTTCTCTAGAAATTCACATGTAATTCACCAGTAAGGGGTACAAAGAATGTATTCTTTGATTATACATTTCTGTGCATAATGGTTATATCCATTTAAGGCTACATCTTCTTTTAGCTTTTCAAATTCCAGCAAAAGCTGATTAGAAGAGTTACATTTTTAAGTAATAACTTAGCTATATATTTTAACAGGTACAACTATTAAATGCTTTCTTTGGCATTTGATTAGGTTGCTGCTAAATGTCATTTACCACCTAAACAGGAATGTAAATGTCTTCAAGATGCAAACTGGATGAAATTATATCCAGGGCTGAGAAGAGGTTTTTAAGTTGAATCAATGACAAGGTCTTTTAATTGAGAAGAAAAGTCTTCAACTATTTTTAACTCAATTTAGCAAATTGAATTGTGTCACTCTGCTGCGCTGCAGGTGTTAAAATTATTTTGGGATCTAAAATTCTGTGATTTGATTTCATTATTCTAAAAGTTGTTGTTTGAGATTTATCAAAGTGCCCAAATTGCTTTCCCTCTTAGTTCTTTAAAAGGTTCTTTCTTTTGATAGTCAAGTTCCTTCTAAAAAATATTTGAATATAAGTTCTTAATTGCTAATAATATTTAAAATTATCACCACTCTAAGACAAGCATTATGTATTATGCGGCTGGTACTGTGTTTGTCATTTCTTTTTATTGATAGACATTTTTACTAAACCTAGACTCTGAAAGGCAGCATTCTCAAGTCTCAAGGTGCAGTCTCCATAATAGAGGCACTGAAATTGCTAATAAAGACATTAAGCAGTTTGCCAAACATGGCTAAGTTAATTCAGAGGCACATATTTGCAAAGTGATTGATTTCCAAGAACTAATACATATATACTTTGAATAAACTATGATGGAATGATGATCTAAATTCTAATTCTGTTTTGTTCAGAGTTTCCTAT